TTTTAGTACCGTAATCAAATTAGTACATGTGCACTCCAGCTTTGCACTAAGGTCATTTATTTCTATTATGTTTCTTTTAGTATGGTGTGTGCATGTAAATGGATGAAAATAAATGAAGAAATCTATGTAAATCTACCCAAAAATACAGTTGAAAAACTTTTTTTATAAAATGTACTACAGTACTGTACACTAATGTACAACAATTTTTATCTCTTGAGCAAAATATATGACGTTTATATTCAAATTATTGGCTGTCTTGCAAGGATTCCAGCAATGCAAATTATAATCTCCTAACTTTAGTCTGAGATATTATATAAGATAAAAACTGTAAGCCTAAAAGCCTGGCTGGGGGGGGGGGGACTGCCAGCTCCGCCACCCAGCGAGGGGTTTGGGGGGGTTGAGGTGATAAGTTTGAGGTGAAGGTCTCTGTGTGTTTATTTAACAGTCCTACTAAGCTTCTCTCATTTTAAAATGCCAGTGATATGACCTAGGAGAATATAATTAACATAGCTGGGATTCTTGTAAGATACTGATTTATTTGAATATAAACATGTTGTAATTCGCACTAGACATAACAATTTTAGTACCGTAATCAAATTAGTACATGTGCACTCCAGCTTTGCACTAAGGTCATTTATTTATTTTACGTTTCTTTTAGTATGGTGTGTGCATGTAAATGGATGAAAATAAATGAAGAAATTTATGTAAATCTACCCAAAAATACAGTTGAAAAACTTTTTATAAAATGTACTACAGTATTGTACACTAATGTACTACATTTTTTATATCTTGAGCAAAATATATGACGCTTATATTCAAATTAATCTCTGTCTTGCAAGGATTTCAGCAATGCAAATTATATTATCCTAACTTTAGTCTGAGATATTATATAAAATAAACATAAAGAAATCAAATCTGGGAACACAAGGAGGGTGGGAAGAGGGGGCGGGAGGTGAGGTGACAGAATGTCTGGCGTTTGTTTGTTTATTTATTTGAGATAAGATTTGACAGTTGGCGCTGAAGGCCTGCCTGCGTGTTTATTTATCATTACTTAAGAGTGACTAAGCTCTTCTCATAATTTGCCACCCAAACGACCTGGGTGAATATAACTTACATTGGAGGGATTCTTGTAAGATAGTAATTTATTTGAATACCTGTATAAACAAGCTATATTTGCAATAGACATAACAATTTTAGTACCGTAATCATTTAGTACATGTACAATACAGGTTTGCACTTAGGTCCATTGTTACTGTACAATATTGACTAAATTCACTAGATAACGTACGCCTGGCAGCACAATCTATAAGAACACGCGATGCATACATGACTGTGTCTGCTCTAGGGCCATTTAGGTTCACCAGGTCCCATTATTTGAATGTTTTTTTTTTCAATTTAAATTTTAATTGTTTATTCCTTGATAGAGGAAGCGGGATCCTAGTGCTGTCACTTGGTACCCCTGTACCATAACACCAGAAGCAACTGGCCAGTGTCACAAGTATATACAGTCATCCCTTGGTTATCGCGCCTAATTGGGACCCCGCCGATAACGAAAGTACAGAACCTATGGGATTTATTCTAATTGGTTCCAGGCACCCAAGACCCAACCCCAAGTTTCCCATTTTACGACCATTTAGACCCACTAAATATATATATAATGTTATGGTAAATATCATAAACACACATAGGCATGGCTAGGTTTATTACAAAGTGATGAAAAGGGTACGCTTAATACTGTAGTCCACAAAACATGTAGCTATGCTTTTTTTATTTGGTCCCCCGTCATACGAGTCCGTTTTCTCTCACATCAGGACGCCTGAGTCCTCCGTTTTCTCTCTTAATCTTAGAGTGCACCAGAAACTTTACTATTTTTAGTAATGCCACAGAATTTGACAATTGCAACCCCAATTCCAACTTGCAATTGTTGAGGCAACTACATATGTCTGATTACAGCAAATGTGTTATTGTCAATTTGTCGGTGAAAGATTTTATCCTCAATAGATGTAGGTTAACATTACACCTGGAGGCAAATGTTTAAAAATAGCCTAAGATAGGAAGCATATTCCTTTAACACATAATATCTGACCAGTATGGGGAGGATCATCGTGTCTCCGTCAGGGGGTTGTGGAGGTGGTCCAGCAGGCGTCACGGATTTTTTTTTTTGGTTTTGGGGGTGGGGGGGGGGCCACGGACATATATGCGATTGGACGTTGTTCGGTTGGACATTAACCGGCGCATGACTGTACTAATGTATACATTTCAAAACTAGGTAAGTTGACATGTGATTGATTAATTTTGAAAAGAAAACAGGTTGACGTATCACTTAGTAATTACGACACAAGACAAATTAAAATATTTGGTAACTGTGTAAATAATATACTGTAAGTTGACATCCTGCTAATATTAGAGTGAAAATTCAACAGTATGTTGACATATCATTCACAAAGATTGCAAGTAAGATAAGAACATTGACAATTCTGGAGTTGAAAACTCACTACTGTACAAGTAAAGTATATTGACACCTGACCCCTGAATTACACGAAAGCGCTTGGGAACTTCGTGTTTTCTTCTTTCCTTGTGGTTATCAGCATATACCTAGATCACGCGCACCTACAGTGATTTACTTGCATATATATATATATATATATATATATGTATGTATGTATGTATGTATGTATGTATATCTATATATATATATATATATATATATATATATATATATATATATATATATATACTACTATATATATATATATATATATATATATATATATATATATATATATATATATATATATATATATATATATATATAGATATATATATATATATATATATATATATATATGCAGATAGACCTGACTTACGACGGGTTAGGGACCCAAATCCAGGTAGTAAGTCCGACATGGGTAATGAGTCCGACATAGATAATATTTTTTTTTTTTTAAATAAATAATCTACAATGAAATACAGTACAGTAAAAGTAATGAATAATGAGGAATGGATACAGTACAGTGAAAGTAATAAATAATAAGGAATGGTTACAGTGTGACTGAGCACTTACCTTTAATGTAGTCAGCTGAATGCACATGGGGCCCCCATAATTTTCTAATTATACATGGAGACTACATTAACTGGAAACGTTTCGGTATAGAAAATGCGTGTGTCATTTGAAAAAAAAAATTAAAAAAAAAATGGTCACAAGGACGGTCGTAAGTCGAAGCAGTCGTAAGTCGGGTCTGTATATATATATATATATATATATATATATATATATATATATATATATATATATATATATATATATATATATATATATATATATATATATATATATTGATAAAATCACACGGGAAAATGGAAACAACGGAGTACCTTAACTTTCGTCATTATTCAAGACATCTTCAGAGGCAACTGGATCTAGATGTATGATAGTTATTTTGTGGGTCCCCTTTTTTCTGACCTGACCTGGCTAGTCACGTCACCACCCTTCTCTTAAGCTCCTCTACGTGTGTGTTGGTGTGGGGATTAGTGGATGTCATCATTATGACCTGACCTCATGTTTTTAGGTCACCCTGTATATTTAAGCCTCTCTCTGTCCATGTAATCCAGTTGCCTCTGAAGATGTCTTGAATAAAGACGAAAGTTAAGGTACTCCGTTGTTTCCATTTTCCCTTGTGATTTTATCAAGATTTATCTTATCCATGTTTTCATTGTGGATTTACATGATATATATATATATATATATATATATATATATATATATATATATATATATATATATATATATATATATATATATATATATATATATATATATATATATATATATATATAGATATATATATAGATATACTGTATATAGATATATATACACGCAGGTATATGTAATATTCAGAAATTTCAGTGTGATATTAGAGACACAATTACCAAAAATGGCGATACTGAGTTCAAGGTCAACGGAGGGAGGACAGTGCTCCCACAACCGCAGTGAGAATTTCGGGAACTGGGGCCATATAATATTAAGTATACTCTGGCGACTTAATTTGGACGTGAATTATGAAATTAAATATCAGTTATTAAATTAAAAGTTTCTATAGAATGTTTCCCAGTCTGAAAATGTTGTGTAAGTCCTAATTATGCTGTTAGTTGTGCGGTAAATAAGTCACGGCCAAGATACACGCCTTACAGGAGAGCGTGGCTGGCTCAGTCGCGTTTGAGCGGTCAAATAGACCGGACCCTGCGTTGGCCAGAGAAACACGTGATCTGGTTCCTTGGTTACGACACCAGTTAACAAGTAATTTTTATTCGATCTCAGACAGAATTTAGATAGGGCGGTAGGCACAAACAATGAGTGAGTGACGGTGATGTGAGACAATAGCTAACAGAGGGTTTGTGTAGAGCCCACGCGTCCATACGGTATGAACGTCCACACGATCTGAACGCGTCCACTCATCTGAGTTGAGCCCACGCGGTTGAGTGAGCAATGGAGTGAAACCAGCTGTCTGTTGCTGCAGGGTGTGTTCAGTTACGACAAAACAACCTCAGATAAGGAAACTTACATCATGGATGTGTGCTGAATGCAAAGTGCCGCTCTGCATTCCATGTTTCCTTGAGTACCACTCATAAACACACTTCTAACCCAAAAGTGAGTAATGAATGTAGTATAATTATAAGGAACTATGTAATGGTGTTGTGAAGTTGTAAGAACATACTGTATTGTACAGTGAGTTGGTAGTTCGTCAACAACACATCTGACAGTTCGCTCCCAGATGCGCGATAATTCCCAGAGGGGTGCTGAGGCACGATGACTTGCCAACAACCATGGGTGGTGAGTACACTGATATTTTATGTTTTTCCTATTGACTAACATGTATGTCTAACATTTCATGAGACTAGAAGGTTCATTTTATGATTTTTATTTATTAGCCCACTATTGAGTTTCTGGAGGGAGACATTCTAAGGTTAGTTAGACCTTTAAGTGTTAATGAAAGTAAATATCCAGCAGTCTTAAAGTATAATAACTGCCACAGTCAGATCAACAATATTATACTAATCCACATGATATGGAGATCAAAACAAATTCACCCAACACCTAGAAAAATACTGTATAGAACAAGCAACATACTACTGAATTTTGAGATAACAATGCCATACATCAAATGCCAAACTAGTGTGTTTTACACCATTCCTCTTCCTCGTATAATTCATACATAATTGACAGAAAGAATCACTCGTTTTTTTTAAACATCAAAAGAAGAATCCCAAACATTGGGCTATTTTTGTGTAAGCCAAAAAATAGATTCGTCAAACTCAAATAGCAACTTTGAGGAACCCATTTGTCAGAGTAACCCAATGTTCAGGATTCTTCTTCGGACTTACGTCCTCGAATATTTAAAAAAATGGGCGATTTGTTTGGACTTAGGAGAGAGGCTGTTCTCTACACAGAAAATTAACAACTAAAAGTCCTTAATTAGTACAGCAGGTTATCCAAACTGTTACAAAATGTTCATATTGAATGGAAAAGAGGTAAGACATCTTAAATAAGCAAAAAATAAATCCTCAGAGTGAGTGAATAGAACAGCTAGTTCACCGACAGTTTGACCACACACAGGGGTAAGATGTTGACTTAAGAGTCCTCTGGGCCTTTCTTATGGTGTTCAATTTCTTGAAGATATTCCCTTCAACAATGCCTCCTCATTAAAAGTTGTACATTATATATTGTATATACAGCGCATACACCCTTATTTTTATGCAAGGATGCACCCCAGGTCAAGCTGTTAGCCCTTTAGCTGGCCAATGACACTATCTGCGTTACTACACGGGTCATGGGGAGCAAGATGTCTCCTGTGACCCTGACTGCTCACAATGGCTAGACCAGTCATGCAGGGATCTGGTACGTAAGATATTATCTTTATACACTCATTTTTAGCCATCCATATCATTTATACAACTATTTGTTCTTTTAACACTTAGCCAGATAGTTTATCCTTTTAACTAATAAAAAAAAAATATATACCTGTAAATAGTAAAAGAAAAAATCTATGCACTTTGGAAAATGTCATTGGCAGGTCTACAGGTAGGATTTGGACTGCACAAGCAACCGGTGAAAAGGTCAATGCATTACTGTATAAAACTAAACCTTTGATACACAACAATGCACACTAATGTCTTATAACACTTGGATATTTTCCACTTGTACTTGTGAATTACTCTTGATGTTGTCCTTTCAAGTCACTTCACCTAATTGTGTTAGGTATTTAGCTAATTCTATACCATGACCAACATAATTTTGTAAAGTCACTTAAAAATAATTTTTTTCTTGGTCAAAGTAAACTACTGTATGTGTAAACAAAGTATTTAAAATACTAATGAGTCCTTATTAGATCATAGTTATTTTTTTGACAGCATAATAACAATACCAAACAGTCTCTCATACACTATTCCTTTTTACTTCCTTTTCTCAAGTGTTCCAACTAATACATACCTAAAACAAATTAAGAAGCTGAAATTTCAGAAAGTTCTGCTTCAGGTGGTTTTAAAGGCAAGCTGAACAAATACATGGGCTGCTGGACATTTAAGTAGTATTTGAAGTAGGTGTGTCGGGCTTCAAAACCTCGCTTGTAATACAATTCCCGAGCCTGAAATAGGGAAGGCAAGTAAAACATTATTAATCAAGAATTGGTTATAACCTGTGTCAATATAGGCTGGCCAAAAAGTTCTTTTAGTAGGTGAGTCAGTCACTTTGTAGTAGTATTCTTTTAGCTGACAAACATTAAAATTATCACCCATAAAAAGATGTCCCATGTATTACCACAACAATCAGAGAAGCACATAATTCACCTAGACTGTATTTCATTAGAGAAAACAAGCTAAGTGAAAGAGTCCAGGGACCCTTATCATAAACTGTCCAAAACATGGAGGGAAGGAAAATACAGGTTACTGAACTCTTCTAAAATCCTGTTAAATTACATTAACTGTTTAGTCACTCAAAAAACTATCTGTACTTGGGAGATCGATGACTTTCAGAATGAACACTGATTCCTGTTGTCTCAGTAGGTTTGTCAAATTCTTTCATCCGTTGTCATAATGTCTCAACACAATTTTGCATAGATAGTTTTTTGAGTTACAGTGAAGTTTGCATTCTTTTGTGTATGTAATAAAGTTCATAAAATGTCCAGTAAGATGCATGTGCATGTTCACAAATGGATGGATAGATAAAATTTTCATGTCCAGGCTGGAAAGCTTACTTTTCTATCATATGGAATTAATGAGAAAAAAAACAATACAGTACAGTAAAATCTCCATTAGCTGGAATCCCTCAAACCCGGAACTGAAATTTTCTCAAAAATTCTTTCCAAAATCTGGAATTTTCCAGAAAATTCCGGCTTTGGGATTGATTTTCCGAGAGGCACATTTTCCGGAAATTCAGATAAAATTTTTCTCGCAAAATTTCGGGGATGGGGGATATTTTTCCAGATTATAGAGATGACATGATGGGCAATTTCTGGAAATTCCGAGAACATTTTTCCGTTACCCGGAAAATTCCGGGGATGAGGGATTTTTTTTCCGGCTTTGAGAGAGTCTTCTCGTTACCCGGAAATCTCTCATTCCAAGAAGTGCTAACGGAGATACTGTAACACTACTGTATACTGTATATATCAAATTTCCTCAATGAGAAAATAAGATTCCTACAAAAATATTTTCAACTTAAAATACGTACACAAAAGTAAATAACTAGTAAAGCAATAGGAAAGAGATGTCAAGCAAACATACCTATACTGTACTCACACACTTGCTCATATCCTCAACTTGTATACATTTTATGTTATTACATTTTAGTAAAGCGTAAAACTGCATCATCACAAGGGCCTACCAATTGAGAAAAATATATACAGTACAGTACTGTAGTGCATTGTTAATCAAGGCACGTAAAATATTCCAACCACAATAATCTTTTTATCAAATACCATTTGAAGAACTGAAGAAGGTTTTTAATAAAAAACAGAAAAAGTTAAAACTACACTAAAATAACTTTATAAAATAAAGAACAGGTATAACCTTAATCTACAAATAAAATGCACATGACACTTGCATATGAAATCAAATTACAGTACAGTATTACCCCGCTTTACGAGGTTTCACTTTCCGCGATTTCTCATTTACGCGGTGCCTCACCAGAACCGAACTTTCACTTTCCGCGGTGCCTCACCAGAACCGAACTTTCACTTTCCGCGGTGCCTCACCAGAACCGAACTTTCACTTTCCGCGGTGCATCTACTCATATACGCGGGAAGCGCACAAGGTCGCCCAGTCATCAAAACATTACCGAGTTCTTCACCCGCCACCCACCACAGCCGGCCTAAGTCAGTGATAGTGAGGATATGGACTTATATGGACTTTGAGGGGTTTGACAAAGAGGCCCTGCAAGCCAATGTGGTGGATAGTGATACAATTGATACAAGTGATACAGGTGAGGGCCAATAATATGCCCTCTGCCTCGGAACCAACCCCTCATCCCTGTGTGCCCAGCCATCTTTTCTACTAATGTAAGTGTTAACAAAACTAATATTATTGATATTTCTCTTAATTATTAATTGTGTGTGCATACCATCATAAAGTTAAGATAATATTTTTACTACAACATAGTTGTGTGTCGTCAAAAAGTGGAGTTTGGGGGTCGGGCCAGTCTCTATTGGAATTAATCCCATATGTTCTGTTGTTCACTTTACAGGGTTTTCACTTTACGCGGTACCCTGTGGGCTCAATTGACCGCGTAAATCGGGGTACAACTGTACTTGTACAGTATTAGTAACAACAATAATATACTTTAATGTTAATGCAAACTAATAGAAGCAAATTCAATGTTTTCCTTCTCTTACATTGTTCTCTCAGTTGTTTACATGTGTAACAACCTAGCAGCAATATCGTGGGATAGACATCTGTAGTCCAGCCTCTTACATAATTGGCCATTTTCTAAGTCATATGCTGCTTCTAAGTTATTTTCTGGTGAAATTCGGGGTACTTTTGCAGGATAAAATAATTTTGACAATTCTGATTGTCAAGGCAGGTAAAAGGCCATATAAAATATTTAACGTTATTCACACCTCAGGATTGATCAAGCCTACACAGTACATACTATTTCCTCTAAGAATTCCTGCATACTTTCACACATTTTAGCAATAAATATGGCTGAACCATTCAAGGGGTTTGCATTGTATCAAGTTATTTTTGTAAAAAGCACATTATAGGGAATTTACTGGGAAAACCTCACAACCCTTGTCATGCATTTTCATAGGGGATCTGAAATAGTGCCAAGTTATATAAAAGACATCATATACTGTACCTTATAGTGACACTCTGTTGTAATAAGTTCAATTTCTTCATAGCAGCGATCAGTGCAGAACTGGATGACCTCATCCAAAAGCCCCATGGCAATTCCACGCCGCCTGTACATTTTTTTTACAGCCATACGCCTCAGCCAAGCTCTGCAACAATATATGAATCCTTCTGAGAGATTGATTAAAAGATTAAATTAGAGGAAATGTGAGATAATTTTCATGAGAGTTTTACACATAAAATTAAATAGAGGATTGAGAAAGGTTTTTTTACCTTCTTTAATACATTCACTGTCATGGTACTGTACTGTATATACAATTACCATAGTACTGTATACAGATTTGGGACCAGGTCATTAGATTCACCACTAAAAGTGGCTTTAACTATACACTGTAAGAGGCATGGAAAACCCGCGGCTTGAACCATGTCTTTGTGCGGCCCGCAGAGTGACTAAGAAATTCTATTTAATATGGCCCACATTTCAGGTAGATGCAGCTAGCTTGTGGTGAGCAAAGCAATATTTATTAAAAGAATAATCTTCACACAATTCATTACTGTTCATCACCTAAGAGTAACTACAAAAATGTAAAGGTAAAATAAGTGTAAATAGTCAACAATATAAACATTTTAACTTGTGTGAGTTTACGGGCCAAGTTCGGCGCGGTCTGTTTGATGGATTAGCTGCTGTGTGGCAGTGGGTCACTTGGGAATTAACTAAGGTTGGAAAAGTCCAAGTGGGGTCACAGGCAGTGGTCACACAGGTCAAAGGTAAAGGTCTCTTCCTTGATGACAGACTCTCTCCATAATACCTCATCCTTCATGCCTGGCTGTCTGTTCTATCTATTTATTCTTCTCAGATTAGATATGCTTATAGGTTGTTTCATTACAGTTCTTCATGCACTGCACCAAGATTAACATTGACATTGTTCTGGTGGGTGTGTCTCGTAAGTAAGAAAATGCTGTAACTGTAGGAAAATCAACGTACTCACAGACTGCTTCATTCATCTTCCCTAAAATGCCAAGAAACATATACAATTTACTAAAAAAATTATTATGATAGATTTGTTTCATAAATGGAAAAAAGACCGACTGTAAACTGAAAATATCGTAAGGTGGACCCCTGCCTGGTGCATTCAAATTTAACATTGTAGGCATAATATAATCAATAACAAAAGCATATAAATAGCATTAATGAAAGCATATAGAGAGCAAGCAAAAGATGCTGAAGCTAGAGAAAAGTGTTGGGTGGGATGGCTCGCGCGGGAGCAAAACCCAAGCGTAAGGGCAACTCAGGGGGTCAGATGAGTATAAGTTTCCTATATATATATATGTATATTATAGTCTGCATTTATGCAGGTTTTGTTTATGAGTTTGGTCATTTACGCGGAGAGCGGCTGGAGGTCCAGACACTCCATGCCATTTTTTATTCAAGCGGTCCATTCTCGACCATACGGTGAGTGGTGCGCATTAGGCCGCTCTTACGTTATCGCTGACGTCATATGACGTATCGGACTGTGATTGGGCCACGCATCCTTACCACCCACGTATTCCCTCCGCCGCTAGCTGTGATTGGTCTAATGTAACATGACGTGCCCCGCCACCAGAGGGTAGAAGTCGCTGACCTGGCAGGGCCTGTCTCATTGTTCTCAGCCGCGTATACAGTTCTCTCTTGTGCCCGCTATTCCCCTCACAACTCACAATGGCTTCCGCGGGACCCCCACCACCAGAGAAAAACATTGAATTACCTAGACCAAGCCATGATTGTGTGAAGGAAATCATCGAGTCGGGGAAGAAAATTAAGCTCATCCTTGACAACGACCCAGACAAGCATCGGTATGAAGCGTCTATAACCATCTGACGAAAGTTATGGAGCCGTATATCCAGATCTATCTCAACAACATCAATGCTAGTCGTCAACGTAGTATTGAGGACTTCCTTGCCCGCAACCCTACACAACTACAGCCAGCCCAAGTCAGTGATATTGACAGTGGGGATATGGACTTTGAGAGGTTTGTCTGGGAGGCCCTGCAAACCTCTGCGAGTAGTGAAAGTGAAAGTGATTCACCGAAGGGCAACTAATCTGCCCTCTGCCTCGGAACCAGCCACCATCCATGTGTGCCGACCCAGCTTTTCTACTAACGTAAGTGTTAAAAAACCTAATATTATTGATATTTCTCTTAATCATTAATTGTGTGTGTGCATACCATCATAAAATTAAGATGTTATTTTTACTACAACGTAGGTATTGTGTCGGAAAAAGTGGAGTTTGGGGGTCGGCCCAGTCTCTATTTCAATTAATCCCATATGTTCTGTTATATACATATATAATATATATACCGGTATATATATATTTATCCATGGTCTTCTTAAAACTTTAACAGGAGCCTACATAATACAAAAATTAAAAGAGAAATTAAGATGATGGAAGAGAGTTTCAGTGGTTCAAGTTTTATGGGGACAGTCACTTTGAGAAAAACCTATTAAGAATACAGAATGGGCTTCCGTGATAGACTAATTTATAGGTTCCCTGATTTAAGTCTACTGAACTGTCACACAATGGAACCTACTTCGAGCCTCCTCGTAATGATTTAGTGATAGCCACTGTACCAACAATGTGTCGTCTTTGCCCCTCAAGATCTATGTCTTTAGCCTCCAGCTGTGCTTCTGTCAGGAATTCATACTCCACCTGTAGATTGAGAACATTGTACAGTACATCATGCTGCTCCAATGATTGGTTGACTTCAATAATCCTTAATTTAAAGCAGTTCAAAATCAACATTAAAAATCATTAAATTACAGAAATTAATGTTCATCATATTCTATATGGTAGTCAGCACAGAATTACACATACAGTATTGTACTCTATATAGTTTACAACATGCATCATTAAGCTCCATGAAATACCAGCCCTAAGTGATTGACTCACCCACTCATAAACTTACAGATTTTGAACCAGCCCACACTGAAGTAGTTCATGACTAATTTTTTTTTATTCTAATTATATTAGTATTAAAATATCAATGTAAGAATATTCCATAATTAAATTAATTTTCCCCTTAATTTATTCATATACTGTAAATAAATTATTATGATAAAACTAGACTCTGAACAAAAGCATTTTTACAATCTTTTATGATACAGTATAGCATTACATATGCAAACAGTATGTACAGTATTGGAATTTTTTTTTTACATTTAACAAGAAGTACAGAAACACAAACATATACCTTTTTAGTTTTATTCATCAACATGTTAAGTTCGTTTGCCTCACTAACTTCAAGCACTTCTGCCACCCAGAATCCAGTATCAGGATATTGCATATATATTCGTGTAATATTATTCAAATCTTCATGGAGTTCCATAGCCTATGGGGAGACACTTTATATAATCATTGTACAAAAAAAAGTAGCAACTCTTTCAATTTTACAACAGCAAAACAGGCATGCTGAGTTTTTGACAAATGTTTATATGCTATTGTGCTGTATAGCACAAATTTTCACCTGTGTGAATTTGGTTAATGGTAGACCAAAGACTACATGCAGCCACCAGTCCTACCTCTCCTATACAACTACCTCAACTGCTTTTCATAACCATTTACCTGGTACACTTCCAGGACCTGTGAGTTAAAGTACGGTACTATGCTGTTGTTGGTTTTGCGAGTGACAATTGCCCCACAATGTCAGGAGCAAATAAAGAGTTTCAGGTTCTACTAAAGAAGGATATTCCATCCATTTCTATTTTTGGATGTGTGCCATTCGTTTGCCTTGTGATCGAGCCAAGCCAGCAACCACTTGCTTTCATGGCTTGAATCCTTCTTGAAGGATGTTTCCTTTTATTTTGCATGCATCAATAAACGTAAACACAAGTTCCAAATGATTCAGGACATTGTTCAGTTTCCCAAGCATAAAGGTTGAAATTATCAGACTCGCTGGCTGTCTAGAGGATCAGTTATATCCAGAATATTGGGACAATGGGAGGCACTGCAATTATTTTTTCAGGGAGAACCCAGAACAGATAAAGTTGATGGGGTGGCCCAGGTATTCAAAACAATAATCATTCCTGGAATCAAAGATATGTTGATGTTTCTTAACTACGTCCTCTATAAAGTAAACAAAATGAAACTTGAATTTCAGTTACAGTACCTAAGACTTTCAGCCCTTTCCTCTTTAATTTTAGATGAGCATAGAATTATCTTGGGTATGTTAATGTGAGACGAAGTAATTCAGGCACAAGGAATAGCTACCATTGACTTTGACAACACTCCTGCATACAAGAAAATCATTGGGATCAATCTTAGTGGTAGTTGTGAGGCTATGCTCATTAAAGAACCTCTTGGCAAAAAAGATAAAAAAATTGCCTTGACAAATGTCAATTTTTTTGGTGAAACTGTGACAAAAAAAAATACTTCTGGGCAAGATACAGTTCTAGCTATGCTTTGAATCCTCAACCCCAAAGAAGCTCTTTCTTCTCATTGGAACATAAAGTCTATAGTAAAATTGGCAATCCAATTTCCCACAGTGGTAAAGAAAGAAGACTTTGATCAACTATAAGACCAGTGGAGGGATTTACTGTATGTGAGGACATCCCTGACTTGGCAGTAACTTTCTGGCTTGAACAGCAGACAGTTAAAGATGGCAACAATCAGTCCAAATTCAGTCTTTCAAGGTTTATGTGCAGTCTTTTTGCCCTGCCCTACTCCTCTGCATGTGTTGAAAGGGTATTCTCCAAGCTAAATATGGTAAAATTAAACAAACAGACTGCATTTGTCAACTGCTGCAAATCACCTCGCAAAGCAAGCAATTGCGCAAGAAAGGGTTTCTTGTTATCAATGGGAGCCATTAACATCACTCATCAAAGATGTAAAAAGTGGGCAGTGCTACATAGATCAAGATGCTGCCAGGAAAAAGATAAACCTGGTAACTCTAAACCCAGGCAATGCAGAGACCACCAGTGAAGATGATAATGATGCACCAATACTGTACAAGTATTTCTACATTAATTCCCTGTTTTACAGATAAGTTTTCATTTATATTTATATTTTCAAGAATCAAGGGATTTTGGGGGCTTATCTTTGGATTTTTCAATGGACAATCTTGGGACTTCATTTTTTTAGAGTGACATCACCAGCATCAGCTGACTGAGCTGAGATGCTGGCTGTCAGCTGGCATAAACATGTTGTGTTTCTATGTACTGACATTTTTTTCCAGCAGCTTCCACGCAATGCATTTTTACAAATTTGAAGCTAGTCCACAGTACTGTCGCACCTTCATTTCCTCATATACTGTACTGTCCTTGGTACAGTTATCACAGAAATTCCCCCCCCCCCCCTTTTTTTTACACAACTTTCCATTTCCTTTCAGCATTGTTAAACTCAGTTCTATCACTTTGGTGTTTGAGGACATTATGAAAGCAAAATAAAATCTATACTATTAAACAAAGGGTACATAGCACACCTAACCTGATGCTTGAACCAGCAGCATTTGCACCAAGTAAACAAAGCAGAAATTTTGAATGATACAGTAACTCATGAGGGGTCATGCATGGGTTTTTTTCTGTAGAGAATGTACTGGTACTGTATCAACAATTACATAAAGGGAGTCACTGTAAAGTAATTTTTATAGATGTTGGCTAAGCATTTCATACTGTTCATTTTGTTTCAAATCTCGTCCAGTTTCTCTTTTAAGTACATACAGGTATAAACTTATTATTGTACTGTAACTGTACTGAGTTTATTTCATTTATATGTTTATTATTCTTTTAATCTTTGTGTACAGCACCCAAATTTTTATTAAAAACATAATTTATAAATTTTTTTTTACACTTTATGATGCTTTTAGTTTTTCCCTTAATATGTATCTCAACTTTTACAATGTAAGGCTGTTGGAAAATGCTCATTGATCCACAAAATATATTTACAAGAGGTTTTCAGGAACCTAACTCTCTTGTAAATTGATGAATACCTGTACCATACTGAAAATTTTACATGAAAGAGATATTATAGCATAAAAATTACCTTAAACGAATGTGCTGACCATATCACCACATATATAATAATGATGGCCACTGGAATACCAAAGAGACAGAAGTAAAATGGGATTCCAAGTCCAATGAAGGAAACAGCAATTGCCAAAAGAGCCACCTGAAATAACAAACAAATGTAAATCAGTGTTATCCATATGAGTTGGTCATCAGCTAGACTTACTGCCTTAACTAAAACTTTGGTCTGCTGAAAATGGCAGAACTTTCATAAATGAAGACTGATCCTGAAATTTGGGTGCTGGACAACTCGTACCCACCAGAACATGTCAAGTCGTACCCAATTACAGAATAACTAGTACCCAAAATGTTATATATATATATATGTATGTATGTATGTATGTATGTATGTATGTATGTATGTATGTATGTATGTATGTATATATATATATATATATATATATATATATATATATATATATATATATATATATATATATATATATATATATATATATATATATATATATATATATATATATATATATATATATATATATATATATATACAGTATTACCCCGCCTAAGCGGTTTCACTTAACTCGTTTTATCATATACACGGTGCCTCGCCAGAGCTGAACTTTCACTTAACACGGATTTTTTCCACATATACGCGGTGAGTGTCCGGCTGGAGACGCTATTTTTAGATTTGCCCCACCCGCCACCCTGCCTGACTGCCTGTTTTAGCTCATAAAATTCATACAAATTACCCGGCCAGAATATAATTTACATTGCTGGAATTCTTATAATTTGGTGATCATTTTGAATATAAACATCATATATTTTGCATTAAACATACAATTTTTAGATAAAAAATTTTCTCTAGGTAACTATGTTATCTTTTGTGCAAAATATATGACATTTATATTCAAAATATTCCTGGTCTTACAAGGAATCCAGCAATGTCAATTGTATTATCCTAACTTTAGTTTGAGGTATTATTTATTAAAATTTAGTGGTTTTCCCCCAAAAATTTCTCTGAGAGGGAAGAGCCAGTGAGTGTAGTGTGAGAAGAGGGGGAGGGAGTCGAGTCCATTATTTGAATGGACATTAGCTTGGCGACTGTATTTCTCTATTTCTCTTAAGTATTAATTGTGTGCATATACCATCATAAAATTAAGATGTTATTTTTACTAGAACATAGGTATTGTGTTGGAAAAAGTGGAGTTTGGGGTAGGGCGGTTTCTGTGGAATTAATCATATGTTCTGTTGTTCATACTTGGTTCACTTACTTGGGACCCTCTGGGTTCAATTGACCCGGCGTTAAATTGGGGAGTGCAACTTTCAACAACAACATATATATATATATATGTAATAACCATATATATATATATATATATATATATATATATATATATATATATATATATATATATATATATATATATATATATATATATATATATATATACACACACACACACACAGTGGTCCCTCGGTTAATGAACACAATTCGTTCCAGAAGGTCGTTCATTAACCAAAAATATCGTTAACCGAAACCATTGTTTCAATGGGATTTTGGGTAATTGGTTCCAGCTCACCGAAAATTACATACAAACTAAAAATAAATGCAGTAAAGTACACTTACTTTGAGGTGTGCATGTAGAAGGCTCCTGGTTGATGATGATGGGAATTAGAATGAGGGTGGAGGAGAAGGAAGAAGAGAAGGCATTAGGGTGGAAGAGAAGTCACCCCATGCTGCCATTTCACCCATAAAATTTTAGTTCTCTTGGTGTAATTCAAGATTATTTTCTTTAAATCAACACTGCACTGCATTATATATTGTCAATATGTAAAATAAACTTCAGGATGACCAATAATTGTACTGTAAAAACGTAAAAATAGTTTATGTTCAAGAGAGTCTCAAGCAAGAAGCTTCCTCCACTGAGCAGAGACACAAACTGACGCCATTCTGGGTGAGTCAAGTGACTGTTTGGCGCGCTAAAAAGTAGTTCCCTGTACTTCAATTTTGTTAAATAATTGTTAAAATGAATAAAATCTTTAATATAAGACTTGGAAAATTATTGAACAGTACAACCTTCTTGATATTTACTCAAATGGTAACGAATTTAAGCCCTAAAACCGATTACTGTATTGGCGGACTAATACTACAGCTGGTGAGCAGGCGAAAACAGGTTGGGAAAAATTCGTAAGGAATTCGTTAACCGAAGTGAAGAATCTTATGGAAGGTAATTCGTTAACCAAGGCGTTCGTTAACTGAGGGATCACTGTGTATATATATATACAGTATATATATATATATATATATATATATATATATATATATATATATATATATATATATATATATATATATATATATATATATATATATATATATATATATATATATATATATTCAGGGGTGAGTACAAACTAAAATAGAAGTGCAGAACAAGTTATATATACAGTATATACTTGACCTCTGTGGACTTGTTCTCACCCTCCTCTGTATATATATAACTTGTTCTGCACTTCTATTTCATATATATATATATACAGTATATATATATATATATATATATATATATATATATATATATATATATATATATACATATATATATATATATATATATATATATATATATATATATATATATATATATATATATATATATACAGTACAGTATACAGTGACCTCGCTTGTTCCAACACTTTCCCTCAGCCTTCCCTTCGGGTTAGGAGGAGAGGATGTTCATGGTGGAGAATCTGTCAGTCCAGAGGTTCCTGACATTTTCATGGAAGGCAGACTCACCTTCCAAGAAGCAGTAAAATGCTTTCTCCTCCAGATTAAAAGTTTGAATTAGGCCTATTCTTGGCAACTAAGTTGACTGCAGAACTTCCAAGATACAAAGCGGCATCCCTTTGATCATCCGACGTCACGTCTTTCGATAGTCATGTACCACAGTCAGGTTATTCGGAGACTTTGTGATATGTGACTATCGTCGGATGATGAAAGGGATGCCACCTGGGTCACTGACTGTGCTAATCTCTCGTTTTTGGAGGTCCACTAATCCTATGTAAGTGAGTTCAGTTTTGAATATAAGCTTGGACTTCGTTTCATAGCTCCATTACTGTTTCAGCCCTTGTCAAATTCAGTACTGTACTGTACTTATAGTGCAATGTATGTGTGACAGAATAACATACTTATGTAATGAGATGCAACTATTTAAAAGCACTGCATTACATTTCACTATTTCACTGCACTTTCCTACAGGATTTACATAAACTTTTTTTTTAATCATAGATAAAGCTAAAATGCATGGTACAGTTTATAATATATACCTATTAGTATATTATACTAATATGTATGGATTATCTTTTGAATTGGGTGCAAGTTATCTTGGGTACAACTTACCTCGTGAGTTGGGTGCGAGTTATCTAGGAGTAAACTTTTTTGGGTACGATTTATCTTGGGTACGAGATGACCCTAACCCCTGAAATCTCATTTTGTAACCGAGTTTACAGCTTGGTGACTTGGATAATGCAATTAATAAGTTTATGGAGTTAGGACTAAGGAACCCTCAACATTAAGGGTAGAGACTTTACCTTCAGATTAGTCATTCATCCTTGTTGCAACCATTACCCTTAAAGTGATAAGTATAGGTAAAAGGCACTATTAAATGCAGGAAGTTAACAAGTCATGACATTACACTAGTGTGTACAGTATACCCAGTACTGTACTTGTGCCTTCAGCTGTTAAAAACTGATCTTGGAATTCAGGCACATCCCCAATTCCAGCCAAGTTGCACAACACGAGGGTGTGGAGGGTGTGAGAGGCAACAAGCTGCAGGCTCAGTTATAAATATATATGGGATTAATCCAAAAAAACGTATTTACCAGTAATAACTAACAAGTAAACAATCCCTTTCAGGTAAACATTAACTTAAGTGCTGCGAGCGATTTTGCCAGCAAAAATTTTTTCCCTGCATGAATTTTGCTGCTTTTTTTATTGGAGATAGTTTTTTCTTGGGAAAAAAACAGAAAAATAATGTTTTTCTTATTTAACATAACCTAACATAACCTGACCTAACCCCCTAGTGGGGGGGGGGGGACCTTCTCAACCCCCCCTGAGTGGTTATATAATGTTGTCAGCATTTAACTTATCTTTATTTAACCTAATGTAACATATTCCCCTATTGGGGAAACACTATTTTTTCAGAGTTGGGTCATGTATTGTATAGCATGGTAATGCGATTGAGATGACCCGCACACTACGCACTCCCCCTCCCATGGCTCGCCAACGGTATTATAGTATAAATTATAAAAAAGAAACACTTCCCCCAAAGAGAACACAGTCACAAGCAATTAACAAAAAACATTATGGTGGAAAAGCAGGGTGTTCTTGCTAGAATCATTGGCAGCATTAATCTACACGTTAACCCCCTTTCATGATAGGTCCATCACATTTGTCTTCTTGCCAGAATAGGAAGGCAAAAATGATGAAGATTTAGTAGCCATTATTGTAAAAGTAATACAGGTTTCCACTCCTAATGGTAAAACTTACAATGTATCCAAAATGATTCACATTACCTACAAGAGAACTTTGGGGTAAAAGCTTGCCACCTCAACTGACAAAAAAAAAAACCTTCTCAGATGTTTTTATCATTATGAGAGGGGCAACATTTACTAAAACCTAACCTAACCAACCAACAAAACCCACCTCACTACCTAGTCGGGGGCAGACACCCCCCCCCCCATCATATTAAACAGACAGTACTTAGCCAATCAGAGTGCACTCAAAGTTAGTAGGAACTTGGGCGTTCACGGCAAAATATCCACTACGTTAATTTCTTTTTTAAATTCAGCACATTTATTGTTTAATTTGTTCACGTGATACACATGATCAGCCTCCACCATCGGTTAAATAAGGTAAAGTTTGGGTAAAGTGTGAAATTCATTCAAAACACATCCAAATATACACGAAAAACATAATTTTGTCCGGAGTAGTGGGTGGTCCTAAAACGAATATTGGATACTTATTACAACAGAGTCTAGCCCCAAAATCTGAAAAATAATCATTAACTCCAATAAAAAGTCTAAAATCCAAACCTGGGGAAATACTTCGGACATTACAGCGGCCCAGAAGAACTCACCCACCGTCTCCATGGTCGCCTCTGTCATAATTTCCTGAATAGTTACTTCATCTCCTTTACGATAAGGACGAATAACACATACTGGAGGAAATTCTTCCCTCATTTTCTCCAGCAAATGATAAATTCCTTCAAAAGTGATATAGTCAGTGATATTAACAAGACCGCTGTTAGTCTCCCCACAGAGCAAAATGAGCAATGTTAAACACCATATAGTATAATAAAACCAAACCAATAATAATCAACTAAAATTGCAATAAGAATATAATATTAGGTTAGGCTTATTTAGGAAAGATGAAAAATCCTGCTTAAAAATTTATGGTTAAATATTTCCTTTCGTGGTATATTGCTAAGGTTAGTAATCTTATTATTGTCTACTAAAGTTCGTCATTCATGGATCCGCGTTTCTTGCATTGACTTGTTTTTATTTATATTCATTTCACCCAAGTTATTTGGATAGTAAATTTTATAAAGGCAAAGTTTATGATCAGAACCGTAGTATTTGTTTGCTTTATTGGAATACGAAGGCATTTAAAATAGGTTTTTCTTTGCTCTACCACCGATTGTCGTCAGTCCATAGGTGTTGATTTGAGCTCCCTAAGCTTGAAAGGCTGTTGTAGTGGAATTCTCCCCTACAAACGCTGTTTGTCGCTGCCTAGCCGACCCCACCAATTCCCCAGTGTATGCCTCGTGGTCTAGGTCAACCAGCGCCGCCATACACCACGGAGCGGGGGTCAACTGCTAAGCCACGACTACCCCCGCTATTTAAGACCTGACCTCGTGGTGATCTGTCTCTCTTTCGACCTACAGCCGCAGCCAGCAACACCTCCTCCGCCTGCCTGGCGGTCCTCTCTCCAGCTGGCGAGCATGGCGACCCACAAGCTGTCCTTCTCTGAGCGTCCTCACCAACCAGCTCTCTCTACATCACGCTTGTAACCATGCTGCCTTCCCAGCACCAAGCTGCATTGTACATCCAATACAACATGTATATAGAGAGCACATTGTGAGTTTCCTTTCTCCATTCCATCCTGAGTGTGAACCAAACAATTTCTTACCCCACAAATGGTGACTCCCGGAGATTCGCACTCACACAGGATGGAGGAGAAACTGATCACGCTCCCAGTCTTCAAGCAACATGGAAGACTGGCTTATCCACCCAGAAGCAGCTCGCATCGACTCTACAACTACTGTCTCTACACCGCAGGTCAGACACCCTAGAGCAACTCTGCTACTCTAAGCAGACAGTCGCTCCTCTTCCAACCCCAGCACACCCGTCCTGCCTCAGACGCCGACCCCGGCCCAGCAGTAACCCCTGCCGCCCCTGATGCGGCCTCTGTTCCTGAGTGCGGACCCACACACCCCTCTTTTCTCCCTCAGGTACTCCCTGCTAATGTCCTGCACCCTGCTGCTGTTGTGGACCCAGCTGCTGTCACGAGCCCTCATCCGCTGCTGCTGACACAGCCCCTGCTCCTGACCCAGGCCCACACACCCCAGCAGGCGCATCTGACGACTCTGTACCTGCCGTGAGGGAAGCACAAAATTCATCGCCTCCACACACCCTTATTCTCCCTCTCTACTCCCACAGATATTGTGTATCTAGACAGTTGTCCCCAGCGACCGGCTCATCCACGCCATCGCCGTTGTCTCACATGAGGCACGCACCGCCCGTTCTGCCTCACATGTGCTATGCAACCCTGCAGACAACAAGTCTCCTACACAGCCTGGAGGGAAGGGGGAGTATTGTAGTGGAATTCTCCCCTACAAACGCTGTTTGTCGCTGCCTAGCCGACCCCACCAATTCCCCAGTGTATGCCTCGTGGTCTAGGTCAACCAGCGCCGCCATACACCACGGAGCGGGGGTCAACTGCTAAGCCACGACTACCCCCGCTATTTAAGACCTGACCTCGTGGTGATCTGTCTCTCTCTACCTACAGCCACAGCCAGCAACACCTCCTCCTCTGCCGCTGCCTGGCGGCCCTCCCTCCTCCGCCTGCCTGGCGGTCCTCTCTCCCGCTGGCGAGCATGGCGACCCACAAGCTGTCCTCCTGTGAGCATCCTCACCAACCAGCTCTCTCTACATCACGCTTGTAACCATGCTGCCTTCCCAGCACCAAGCTGCATTGTACATCCAATACAACATGTATATAGAGAGCACATTGTGAGTTTCCTTTCTCCATCCCATCCTGAGTGTGAACCAAACAATCTCATACCCCACACTGTTACCAGCGTTGCCAACTCGGATTTTCAAATGTCGCTAGGCTGGTACCTAAAAGTAGCTAAATGTCGCTAAATCTTCCATGAAAAGTCGCTAGCTATTATTCCCCCCCTTCAGTAATTTGATGCAAATATTTTCATAATGCCGACTATAATGGACGGAGTATAAATAAAATGCATTATGTAAAAATAAAAATATTATTTTTTTTAAAGATTAATGTGCACACTTGCCTATTATTCAATACAGTGGCGGCTCGTGAAAAATAAAATGGAGGGACTGCAAGCCTCACACAACATATGTTTGGCTGACTGCTCATGTTTCACTATTTTCTGTGGCAAATGCCTCAAGTCAGTCACACCACTTTTCGTCCATGCCGAGTCCCCACCAAACAATAAGCATGGAAAGCAGAATAAAGTATTTGCCTCGTCACAACCACAGAGCCATAAACACTCATGTTAAACTGGCGTGTATATTCTTTGTTCCTGCTTGTACTGTTCTGTTGAATGGATAAAACTGGTGTAGGTCTTCCTCTTGCTTTGATTTCAGTCTTTTCATTTAATGTCAGCTGGGAAAAGTTGATGTTTTGCAAATACTTCACTCGATTTTCCATCGTCAAAGGGTAATTAAAGAAAGCACGATTTAACCACACCGTCCACACGCAATGTAAACACGAGACTGAGCTGCTTCAAGTGCGGCGGCGGCGGCGGCGCCAATTAATAACAGACATGAATCGTACAGCATTGACAGCAACTATGAAAGTAACTTAAATTTTGGTTTGATTTTAATGAAAATTCACTTAGCAACGTATTGAAAATAATTAAATAACATATAAAATGATATATTTGTTGGTAGTGTATTATTCAGCTGTCTCTCTAAAGGAATCATACGCCTGGCAGTGAGTGTCTGGGGGGACTGCAGCTCTGCAGCCCTATGCACGAGCCGCCACTGATTCAATAGTAATTGCATCCCAGTCCTCTTCGTAGTCGTCGGCAGTGTGAACAACTGTAGAGCTGGAAGCATGTGAAGTGCTTGGTTCAGGTTCTCTTGTAACTGTATGCCTCCACAGTCCCTATCTTTCTTAAAATATCACTAGGAAGTTCATAACTTGCACAACAGGTGTTCTGTCTTTTTAACCCATACTTTATTGTAAGAATTGCCTTTAATGTCGATAGTTTCATTTTGTTGCGCAATTTTGATTTCACAAAGTTCATATTACTAAATGTGCGCTCTACATCTGCGTTTGAATGTGGAAGAGATAAGGCAGCGAGTGCAATTTCAGCCAGATCATGGTAAGGGTTTTCACCTGTCGCATCTCTGTAATTTGCCACTTCTGACCACAATTTTAGGGTGTTAGATGCATGGACGGGCTGACATCAAGTGATCAGGAAATAGACGTGTCCCTCCTTCTGTACCACGACCCGTTCAAATGTATTAAACTTTTCATATTATTTATTGTCCCTGTAATCCCGTTGATATATATTATGGCTCGAAATTAGGAAAACTGAGTTTTCATGGACAGTCCAAAAGTATCCAGAAAGTCGTTAGATTTCTGTGGATATCTCTAGATTTGCGACAAGTCGCAAATCGCTCTAAAATGTCGCTAGAAAAAAACAAAAAGCTCTAGATCTAGCTACAAAGTCGCTAAGTTGGCAACTCTGGCTGTTACAATTTAGGGTGTGTCAATTTTGTCAACATGTTAAAAATCAAATTTGGTAGTCAAAATATTGTGCCTCTTTATGTCTAAACTTGAGATTAGCAAACAAAAATGAATTGAAATAACCCTCACCTACATCAATTATACCTTAAAGTTTCAAATATCAGTATTTCAACAAATTAATGAGACTTGATTAGAATTATTCACTTGATATTAACTAATCTCATGTAAGCATATGGATTATGGAGTATTTTATGGTTCTATAGCTTGTGTACAATATGGATGTCAGAACATGAACATGAACAGGCTCTCCGTGTGGGACAGTTTAATTCTTGTTTTGACTTGTACCAAGCGTGAGGATAAGGCGCCCGGCTCACTCTCCTTCTAGATATCATAGACGGTGGTTTGCTCTCATTGCACTTGCACCTACTCTACCAGACGAATTCTACATTTTAATTATTGTAAGTAGGGCATATTGATTGTCGCAGTTACTTATATCATTGTATAAAACATTATGTTCTAAGAAATTATTATGTTATTTCTGTTACAGCATTTTTGATAAACAAATTGATATTTTTTGAAACAACAATTGAATTATGAAACATTGAAATATTTTTCTATTTGTCAGATAGTGTGAAGATGTCAAAATTGAAGACAAGAAGTCAGTTGTCAACCCACTTGAGCCTGCTAGTTGGTAAAGGGAAGGAGCTTCCTGTATCAGAACTTCCAACAGTGAGAGACATGCTAAGATTAGGGTTACTCCTTCGAGAAAAAAATGCAAAGGACAGAAGGAACTATACAGATAAAGAACTCATAAATGACATGATAGTCCCTCTTCTGCATCAATGGACAAAAGCTAATGCACTATTCAAACCACCTGTGATTAATCAGTGTCGAACTATTGAGCTAAAACTAACGAAATTATGGCACAAAGCAGTTGAAACATCACTTGGTAAAGGAAACTTGGCCAGGAAAAATGAATTTCTGCACACACTTGATACTCTGTTTGACATTTTGACCTGCAAGTGCTCCATACAATTATGTTCTGAATCCAACTGTTCTCACTCAGGTAAGAGAGAAAATAATTCCCACATTGATTGTGGTTGTCCTCGTGAAAAGAAGATCCCTGTTTTAGAGCTTGAATTTATAAAGGCACAGAGGACAAAGGCAGAAGGCCAAGGAAGTATGCAAATGGGTTCAATAGATTATTCAGAAACAAAGAAGCAGATTGCTAATGCCAAGAAGAGAGAACAAATCCGAGAGAGGGAACAAAAGAAGAAAATGAAGAGTGAAGAAGCCATCCAAAGAGAGGAAGAGCTGTGTCAAGATGTTTATCACTTCTTTGATAGTTCTTCTGATGAACAGGAAGCAACATCAGATGATAGTTCCAAAGAGCCATCTGAACCTTTACCAAAGAAAATGAAATACAACACAAGAAATATTTCAAACATTGCTTTAGCTAGTATTCGCCACCATGCTGGACTTCGTGAGGCTGCAGAAATTGCAACTGCCGCTTGGATAGATGCAGGCCTCATCAGCCGAGAGGATGTATCTTTGGTGATAGATCATAATAAAATTAGAAGAGCACAAGAAAAAATAATGAAGGAAATATCTGATCAGCATGAAAAAGATTTAAGCGAGGGAGGGCTCTCCTGTCTTTTGTTTGATGGAAGAATAGATGACACAAAAGTTTTGCTAGAAGTAGAGGGAGTGAACAGAAAGTTTCCAGGTCTCATCAAAGAAGAACACTACTCTGTCTGTTCTGAGCCTGGTGGTCGGTTTTTGTTTCACTTTGCTCCCGAAACTGAAGTAGAAGGGAAGAAACATGCAGAGGTCATTGCTGATCATATTTTATGTTGGGTTCAGGAGAGAGGACTTGGCAGTTCACTGCAGGCTGTTGGTGGAGATTCAACTGCAGTGAACACCGGATGGCAGGGGGGTGTAATGACGCATTTAGAGAAAAAACTAGGAAGAAGACTTGTTTGGATTGTATGTGATTTACATACAGGCGAGCTACCTCTTCGTCATCTCATCCAGGAACTTGATGGTCCTACAAAGAGCAACAACAAGTGGTCAGGTCCCCTTGGCATCATGCTGGATGAAGCAACACAACTAGAAATAAATACAACCTTTCCAAAGGTCGAAGTTGGCCCTCCCCTTCCGGCGTTGTCTGAAGGAGTCATCAAAGATCTCAGCACAGATCAATCCTATGCTTATCGTATTGCCCAAGCAATAAGATCAGGAGAAGTGCCTCAGTCATTGGCTCTCTTGGAGATTGGACCTGTCAGTCACAGCCGTTGGTTAACTACAGCTCTTCGTTTCTGCAGGATTTGGATTTCCAAACACGAATTGAAGGGCAAAGTGCTGAAGAATTTGAGGTTAATTGTTGAATTTATTATTGGAGTTTATCTTCCCCAGTGGTTTAGTGTGAAACTTAATCCTATGTGGGTGGATGGGCCCAATCACCTTTTGTTTCAATTGCAGCTAGTAAGAACACAGAGGAAGGTAGTGAGGGACATCGTGTTACCTGTGGCAAGAAGGTCCGCTTGGTATGCTCGATCAGAAGCAGTTTTGCAAGCAATGCTTTGCAGTCAATGTACCAATCTCCGAACCGAGGCTGTAGAAGTCATTCTAAAGATTAGAGGAACGCTAATAGATGACGACCAGTTGGGAGACTGTTCGTTTCATTCAAGAAAAGTTCCCCCAATAAACGTCAATGCCACCAAATTGTCAGAATTGGTTGACTTGAGTTTGGAAGTCTTAGAGCCACCATTGACAACAAGTCTAACTAGCCAAGAATTGAGAAACCTTAAAGAGACTCCAATGCAGGTGCCGAAGTGGCCTTCCCACACTCAAAGTGTGGAGAGATGTGTGAAAATGGTCACAGAAGCAGCGGGCCATGTTTACAGCCACGAGAGGCGAGAAGGTTACATCAAAGCACAAATAGCAAGCAGACTACTGATGACAAGAAACCAAAGCAAAGAGAGTATGAAGGCATTGGTTACTTTCAAATAGACTACGGATAATAAAATATAATAATTTGAAACTTGAAACAGTAACATGTGTGCAAACGCTGGTTATGTTATAAATTCACAAATATGTACATTTAAAAATCCATTTGATGTAGGTAGGACTTATTATAAAAAAAAATTTATGCCAGAATATTGTTTTGCATGCTTAAAGACTACAATAAATTGCTACCAAATTACTCGATTTTCAATTTAGCCAGTTCACCCCCTAAATTGACACACCCTACTGTTACATACAGTACACTCAAACCTTTAGCTCTGATTTGTCTGCGCTGACAGACATTGTACAGTTATATTCGCTATTAGGTTTCGTTCTGAACAAGGAATAATATAAGGAACTATGTCCTACGAGAGTAAGTTTGGCCTTATTAGTTGGATGCTTGTCCAAGAGATGGCGCTGGATTGCTTTTTACTTTTTACTTTTATCTTCTTCGCCACTGATCGGCTTGTTAGCCGCTTGGGCGATCGGTCACGTCTCTTTTCATTTATATTCTTCGCCACTGATCGGCTCGCTAGCCGCCCGGGCGATCGGTCACGTCTCTGTCACGCACTGTTGGCAAATACTGGGCATGCACCGGCTCCTGAATGTACCTGAACCCGCTCCAGTGTTGGTCAAGTCTTCTCTTGAAAGAGCTCACACTCGGTGCCGTCACAACACTCTCTGGTAGATTGTTCCAAGAGTTTACAACCCTCACTCCGAAAAAGTTTGCCCTCACGGTTTTCTGGACTTGCGGCTTCTTCAATCTTGAGCTGTGACCCCTTGTGGGGCGAGCGTCCGCCAGCTCCAAGTAAGGACACTCAACTGGGTGACAGTACTCCAGATGGGGAAGCACTTCACTCCTGAAGATCGTTACGAGGGACGGACCGTCTAGATATCTGAACGACCTTCTTATAAGACCCAATAATTTATTTGCCTGATTTACCTTCTTCTCACAATGGCCCGAGAACTTCAGCTCATTGTCAACATACACACCTAGGTCCTTCTCACACACAGTCTCAACTAGTGCAGTTTCTTCATTCCATTGGGACATATGATACGCCTCCTTACCGTTGGTACGCCCCAGGTGCATCCTCTTACACTTCGTGACATTGAATCTCAGCAGCCATTCCTTCGACCATTCCTGGAGCGGAGCCCACAGAGGTCCTTCTGCAGCTCGTCATAGTCCGCTTGGTTCTTAATTTCCCGAAATAACTTGCCATCATCGGCAAACATTTGTATGGAGGAGTGTACAACGTCAGGCATATCATTTATGAAACAAACAAACAACAGCGGGCCCAATACACTACCCTGCGGTACCTCACTTGTTACAGGTACAGATGACGATTTCGTGCCATTAATCACCACACATTGCTTGCGGTCATGTAGAAAGTCTTTTATCCACGCTAGGACATTTCCCCGAATTCTGTGCCCTTCCAGTTTGATTTTCAGCCTTTCGTTGGGTACACTGTCGAAAGCCTTGACAAAATCTAGGTAAATATTGTCGATATTACCACCGTTGTGTTATTTATGGGAAAAACAAAGGAAACGCTTGAGAATTAAAGTTTCACTTCTTCTTAAAAGACAGGAAAAGATAAGTTCATAGCTATGTGGTCGATTCATAAGCAGTGACGATTAAATTGTAGTTTATCGGGCGGTAGGTCTCTTTATTTGTATACAGAGAGCACATTGTGAGTTTCCTTTCTCCAACCCATCCTGAGTGTGAACCAATATCTCATAACCCCAAAGTACGACCTAGCTGTATTATTTTAACGCTTAGGAGGCGTAACATCTGTTCCAAACTCCCAGCACGACGAGGAAAAGCTCTGTTAGCAAGTACTGTACTGAGCATGTACCGGCTCCAGAATGTATAGTACGGGCCCAGTACACTGCCCTGTGGTACCCCTCTTTCATGGGTACACATAATCTTGTCTAGGGCTGTTATGTAGCCTATTACTGTTCTCGTTTCCATAGGTTGGGCTAGTAGATTTGTGTAGGCCTCCCACTCTATGTGTGAAGAAGTGAAGTATTTCCTTCCATTCGTCCTGCGTGGCAGCGAGGTTAAGTTTTCCCCTCTTGTTGGTGGTGCGTGACAGCACGAAAAAATTGCCCGAATTCAAGTTTCTATCCATTTTAAGGTTTAGAATGTTGTCGTCTCGTGATTAAAATCTCCCATGATGAAAGCTTGTGCTATGGAAATACGTCTTCTGACTTTTTTTTATCCTCGGAGTTCTATTATATGTACTACAGTATATGATAAATGTTTACTTGTAATTGTTGTGCATACCCATTACTCATACTGTATTGTATTTTATTGTACATTTGATGAATTTCAAATACAAAACATTAAATCTGTCGGCTAGTTCCAGGTGTGGATACTTGACTGACTAATGTCCTCTGAGGTCTTAATAAAGTTCGATTAAATCACCCCTTGTCCATCTATATCATAAGCTAGGCAACTGCTGGCGTTTTAATCTCTGGGTACCTGAGGTGCTTGACACAAGAGTTTTGTATTTAATTTTTTTTTTTTGAGAGTTGACGGGCAAGTGTAATTGCTAAATTTGTCACGGGCTTAAAGACCTTAGTGTTTGAAGCTTAACCTGGTTATGCTAGCCACCACTTTTGGAGGTAAACGTTCATTCAATGCTCTCTGACGCATTAAGACTTACGGATAAGTGTCTGTGTGTGCGTGTTTCAGTATGATGTTTGACCAGTATATATTATCCTCTCGTAAGTGTGTAAGCATGCGTATGCGTTTCTGCGTTCGTGTGTTTGTAAATAAACGGATTTCTTTAAACATGGGTGTGCGTTGAACATGCATATACGTATAAATGTGGATGTCCGAGTACATTATTCGTGTGTAGGCGATGTATGCAGGCGCGCATCCTCTGTGCATCGGCTGGTTGCTAAGGCGTTGCTATGGACGCTACCAAGACACCGCCACACACCTCTTGTCTTACAAGACGCTCTACCTACATCATACATATTTATGGCCCTGACAGCAACTGCAGTTGCATGATATACTCAGTGAGTGACACTTGTAGTTTACTCTAAGATAATGTGTGTTCTGATCATTTTAGATCAATGTACAAGGTACCCGAATGAAGTAAATCCCTGTAAACAATGTTCCGAGAGGCCATGACAAGATTTTGCGCCGTGGACTGGACTGTGATAGTACTACTTATAACTTAATCTCATGTTGATCGATATTGATAAAATTATCCCATTTGCTCAACCGTCTTTAAATTCTAAAATATTGATACGCTAAGTTGTGTCAGATTGGATTTCGACAGGTGAAATTTTGTTCTAAAGTCAGCCCACTGAAGTCTCTTTGGGTAATATTTAGTGTTTGAATTTTTTTTAAAGAAATAAGATTGTGATATAACGTACCCTGTAAAGAAGTTTGAAGACAGTTTAAAGCAACGGCAAATAGGTAGGTTTATAATGGATATCATATGAACAGTATTACTGACATCAAAGCGTTTGCTAAAAAGTACTGAAAGTCAGCCTTGCGCACATAGGCCTATTCGCATAAAACAGTTTTAATATAATTCTAGAAAGTTGTGTAGTGGAACACTATCTGTTGTTTCTTTAATTCACTTAGCCACAGTCTTAATAAGGTGCTTATTAAGACTAAGTCTTGGTTTCTACACTGGACAACAACTTTTGAGTAATGACAGATAGGTAGGAGTATGGGGTTTCTAAGATATTGGTTCACACTCAGGATGGGATGGAGAAAGGAAACTCACAATGTGCTCTCTGTATACATATTGTATTGGATATACAATGCAGCTTGGTGCTGGAGGGGTGGCAGCGTGAGTCCAAGCGTGATGTAGAGAGAGCTGGTTGGTGAGGGTGCTCAGAGGAGGACCAGCTTGTGGGTCGCCATGGTCGCCGGCGGGAGCGAGGGCCACCAGGCGGGAGCGGAGGAGGAGGTGTTGCTTGCTGGTGGCTGTATGTAGAAAGAGATAGGTCACCGTTGTTGTGTTGTTGAGATTGTCGGGCCGTAGTCCGACACGGGCCTTTGCCTATAGGCGGCCCGTTTGGTGGTTCCGGCTGGAGCTCCAGGAGCAGCCAGACCGGATGGGATTGGAGGTGGTCCCACCTGCAGATTGGAAGGATACTGCAGGTTGCAAGTGTGAGCGGACCCCCGATCAGTGGACGCTTACCACCAACCCCCACTCTTGGACGTGGTCAGTTTCGGAGTGGCGCGCCCCCCGAACTGGGGTCCGCACTTGCTGGGAGAGGATACTTTCTAAGCTATCTGGGTGGTGGGTATCGTGTGATGACCCGGAGTAGGTGGTGAATGTGGTCTGTTTGGGTCTTATATAGCGAGGGTAGGCGTGGCTTGATGGTTGACCTCCGCTTTGTTCGGCGGCGCTGGTTACCGACCTTGACCACGAGGCGTACGCTGGGGAATTCGCAGGGGGTCGGCTGGTCAGCGACACGGCGGTTGTAGGGGAGGAATCCACTACAGGAGTATAGCAGCAAATGAAGGATTTGTCTTTTACTCCGACAGTTCTTTTGTAACATAAACATGACAGAAAAATTTCTTGGTATAGGCCTTACGATAACTTTGCGACACGTGACTTTATTCAGCAATTTCTCAGATTTAAGGTTTTTCTACTTTTCAATACAAATATACTGTAGGTAGTGTATAGACTTGATTTGTGGTTTAATTATACACGTTTATCTAGAAATTAGTATCGAATTTTTCTTGTGTATGTTGTATACTATTACGGTGGTGGACTTATTGATTCCCCTCACGGTCCAGGGTGTGTGTGTGTGGCGCCCGTCTCCGTGGTGGTACTATACTAGCCTTGTGATAGCCCCCCTATCCCCCCCTATCCGTTTATCCATCCTTTTCTCGCTGATAGCCTTTGTACACATATTTGGTGTAGGTATTCAGACAATGTACACAAGCAGTTTGGGCATACAAACAATTACTGTACAGTACATAGAGAGCGCAGGTATGCAATAATTGTAAACGGTAAATATGGAAACACTAACCTCAGGTGTGTGCAGGATGAAGGATGAAGGGGTGAAGTTGGACCTGTACAACTTTGACCAGCCGCAGCATCAGGAGTGTCCATACATCCTCACCAGCCCACGTTCACTGCAGGCCTGTAGGACGCTCTCCATCAAGGTCAGTCTAACTCAACTTGACCTAAGGTAAACTGAGCTAACCTGATCTAACTTAGCCTGTAGGTCGCTTTCTATCAAGGATCAGTCTACGGCTCTATGCTAACCTATCCTACCTTTCATTTGTACACTGTAAAAAATTTAAAGTGCGTCCGTAAATGTCATAGCAGATGACGATGGTGTGTCACTGCAAAACGCGGAACTAACAGAAAATCACCGTCAAACTAATACGGTGGTTAACCGTCGATTTTTTACAGTGAACCACTGTAATATTCACGGTAATTTTTTACAGTGTAGGAATCTCTTTATCAAAGCCAGAGTAACCTTACCTGACTTAACTTAGCCTGTTGGACCTTCTCCATCAAGGTCATTCTAACCTTACCTGACTTCTGTGTGTGTATGTTAAAGAAAGACAGTCTAACAAGGAGAGAGCTCACTACTAACGCCAGACCTCACCCTAGCCTGTGGACCTACTACAGAAGAGCCGAGATGAATATGATGCCGCCCACGCCAACCAGCCCCTACAACAACGCCTCGTCGCCTACCACACCCAGGAGCGTCTCAGACTCAGTATGTGGCTGTGGTGGTGGACTAGTTGTACGACCATGGTCAGTACAAATTGTACTAACCATGGTCGTACATAGTGGTAGTGTGTTACTGTTGCTGTGTGTGTGTGTGTGTTATAGATTGAAAGATTGCATGAAGTTGTGTCATAAAGTCCTTGTTGATGTTAAATGCAATTGGTCACCTAGACATTAACATTCCTCCTCGCTCTCTGTCTTCCTCTCCCTCTGTGTTTTTTTTTCAATTATCTGTCTCCCAATCTTCCTATCTATATTTATCTTTATAAATGTTTGTCTCTGCCTTTCTATCTTTTCTTATCCCGTTCTCTCTGCCTGCCTCCTGTCCCCACTTCTCCGCTCTCTTGCCATCATCTTTCATTTTATCTCTCACTATGCCTCTTATCTCCATTTTTACCTCGTTTTTTCCCTCTTTCGACTTTTTTTATCGTTGTCTCCCTCCCCCCTCCCCTTCTCTCTCGTTCTCTTCATGCCTTCTACCTCCCCCTACTTCCGTGCCTCCCTATTTCCTTGCCTCCATCCCTCCCTCCTCCATCTCCCCCACAGAGCGACTGCGCCAGGCCAGAGAGCTGAGGGACAGACTGCTGGTAGACGATGAGAGGCGCGCCAGAGCTCACGGTGAGTGGTAGTGGTGTGATAGTCAAAGTATATATTCCATTATCTATATATGTGTTAGGATATAAAACAAACATTAGTCATATAGACCCAACCATCATTTCTACTGAGATTTTGTTTTAGTGCTAATTCTTAAAGTCTAAATTCGTAGTGAAACTATCTGATTTGTATAGAAACATACCTAAGAGTGATTAACTTAATGCATAATGTAACTGTGTAAATATTTAGATACCGTCCTCGTACAGCTGTAAATATGTAGTCGACGTAACACGCTTCATATAGTTCTGCCAGGAAACCTTTTGATGCTTGTTGTTTAATAAGTCAAAATTCATGAAGAAATGGATTGTAAAGATTAACCCACCTGCCGATATGCAGTATCTACCAATGATAGCCACGATTCTAGTGCGTATACATTTAAATGCTAATTGAAACTTTCGGCAAGTTTTTTTTTTTATGTTGCTATAAGTAGTACCTGAGAAGTGGTTTATTTTATCATTTTTTAATTGGTGCTGAAGTGTGTATATTTAGTTGTATAAATATTAAGTGGCAGTAGTGGTGACTCAGGTTGTCTATGGCAGGAAGGTCTGGTGGTGGAGGAAGAGGCAGCGCCCCGCCGGATGGTTCTACAGCCTCCACGTCCTCTGGCCTGGCGAAAGGGGTACAACAGAAAGTAGACAAGAACAAGGAGGAAGAAAAGGAAGAAGGGAAGGAAGAGGAGAGCCAAACAGAAGAGGAGGAAGGGAGAGGAGGCAGTCGCCATGGCAGTTCTTCCTCAAACTCCACGGCCCCTCCCCTAGTCCGACATGACAGTGAGAGTAACTCTTCCACTACTTCATCCAACACTTCTCACTTCATCTCCAAGTCCTCCTCCAAACTACTGAAGGACCAGGAGAATATAGCTCGCAGCCTTGTCACCAGACAGTGTAAGAGTTGACTATTATCTTCACACAATATGATGACCCCAACGATAATCAGGGCGGGTAGACTAGCGTAGCATAGTTTGTGTTTACCGGTACAGGAATAGTCTTTTCTTTTTTTTTTCATTTAGATTTTTTTGCTGTGTCATGTAACGGATATTTTAGATGGGTATATAGATAGATGATATATTGATAGGTACAGTCGCTAAAACAACTATCTGTGTAGGTGGGGGTCGATATGTTCCGAAATTTTACGTGTGACTAGTGACAGCCCTCATATACTAATATTTATCGTCCAAGGTCTCATATTGTTTCCCACAAAGTATGCACAGATAGCTGTTTTAGCTACTGTACATAAATTGATATATATTAATAGATAGGTAGAGAAGTTGTGTACAGTAAATTGCAGGGTGTATCCTTGGGACAATTCTAAACCACAATATAGACATGACAAAATGTTGGAATCCGCGTAATTCGTAGCTCCAGGTAATGATAGCGAGGTTGGAATAATACAACCGTAGATTTTTTTATTTTATGCACGTAACTACACAATGCGATACAGTTGTGTTATTACAGTAAATGCTCAGAATTTCCTCCCTCTGCCTGTGTATCATAACTATTCCTTTTTACACTATGTTATTTTTCCTGGTATGATCACTATTTTTTTATTAATTCTTCTCCTCTTTCTATTGCTTACATTCCTACTATCTTCATAATTCCTCTTTTAGTCCTTCCTATTCCTGTCTTCACTATTTCTATTGCTGTAATTTCATTTTCAACACTATCTGCTCTTTCGCTTCCTGGTCTTTCCATATTTGCTATTTCTGTTCCTGCTATTTATGTTTCTGTGCTATTGTGTGAGGAAAGTGAAAAAGAAACTGAGAGACGAGGAAGTGAAGAGGAGATGACTTAATGATGACTACAGCCGAGTGTGTCCTTCACCTCTCTCTCTCTCTCTCTCTCTGGCTTCGACCTTTTGTAGTCTCTCTCTCTCTCTCTCTCTCTCTCTCTCTCTCTCTCTCTCTCTTCTGATGTTTCACTTTCTATGTCTCTATATGTCCCACTTTCTAATTCTACATCTCTTTTTCTTTCTCTCATTTTCTGTCCCTCTCATTTTTCTCTTGCTTCCATTTTCTTTGGCTTTTTCTTTCTCTCCTTTTCTTTCAGTGTCTCTTGCTTTCTGTCTGTCTCTCTATCACACTGTCGCCTATCTATCCGATTTTCTTTCTCTCTGTCTTGGAGTGGCTTCAACAAGTAAGTGTTTCATTGAGTCGCGGGGATATTTTAATGCCAGCTTTACGAACTGTGCTACTGTGGGGATCAAGCGTGAGCCAGATAGCTGTTTTCTCATATATCTAGGTACCTGTGTTGATAAAAGCATGAGCGAATCTTAAAGAATCCTTCGTCGTGTTATTGCCCAAATGAGCCAGTTGGATATATTCTCGTGTTTGTAGTTACGATAAAAGTTGAATATTTGACTTAAGAAACTTTAAAGATTTCGGCCGCTTGTATTCTGATTATTTATGTAGAATTTATTGAGTGAACAGAGAAGGTCGGGTCATGAGTAAGGGCTACCAGGAGGATATTGACCGAGCGCTACGGGTGAGTGAGGCACTGTGTTAACATATGCATGACTGACATTTCTTAAATGTCACACAATCACTCCCCCAGGCCTCCATTGACAGCTAGAAAACTTTTGTGATTGCAGTGAGTGAGATCCCTGTCTCGAGTATAATAAATGTCTAATGAGTTAATACAGAAAATACCTTCTCAGGACGTGTAATGGGCAGTGCTCTGTGACTAAATGAAACCAATTAATTCAACTAAATGTAATATTAATAAACAAATGAGGAGAATGCTAAATGTATAATATTTAAAGTATGTTGTACGGACAATTTTAGCATTTTATGTTCATTGTGTCTTACACTGAGCGAGTGAGCGTGTACAGTACCAAGGTGCTTTATCTATTTCTTAATATTAGGGAGATATGGACAAGTACTTATTTAATATCAACAAGATATTGATAAGTAACAAGTTCAATTACAATCTGGGAAGCCTGGTTAAATCATTATTGCTGTGGTGAATGTATGACTTGTTATTTTCTTTGATGTGCCCTAAACAGCTTCCACCAGCAGCTGGGAGGAGGGAGGCAGCAGCAACAACACGAGGGCTGCTTCTGTAGACGACGATGGCGATGTGGCAGAAGCAGGAAACAGACGAAATAGTGAAGGACAGGTGAGAATACAGAGGGAAGAGAAAACTGGAGACAAAAAAGAAAATACCGATGATGTTCAATTAGGCGATGAAGGAGAAGAGGTAGTGAGTGAGGAAAGGGAGAAGGACAGAGAACAGGGTGAGAAGCCCAGGTCGACGGGAAGTATTTCCGAGGCTTTGGGTGGTGAGTTGTATGGTGTGTCCCTCACTAGTCACCAAGTTGCCTCTACTTCCAGTGTGACCAGTCACCAGGCCTCCACGTCTGGTGTCATAAGCCACCAGGTCTTTACTTCCAAAGTACCCATTCCCAGTCACGAAGTCTCTACTCACAACGTCACCAGTCACCATACCCCAATTCCCAACGTCACTACGAATCAACCTTCCACTTCCGGCGTCACCAGCTATCAACTCTCTACTTCCGGGATCACCAGTCACCAGCCTACGAAACCAAGCGTCACTAGGAAGCCCAAGACTGGTGCCCCAAGACCGTCAAGCGCCCAGCGCGTGAAGCAAGGAGTTCATAGGCCAGGATTTCACCCTATTCCAAAACGTATCACCCCACAGAATCGCGCTGATGCTAAACACGCCAGTATTCCGCAAGAAGGCGCTGATAATAGAAGTCTTGCGTTCTCGCGGATCCCTGGAGAACCTTACAAGGTTTCAGTAGCCAGCGGCAGTAGGTTTACGCCAGGGAGGTCAACACTGCCTGGGTCAGCTACACATAGTCAGCCATCACCACTACATCAACACAGGCAGCAGAAGTCACTACCACGCGGTGGCCACACACACACTCCGCTCCTCGCCTTTAAAGGTAAGAGAAACCACTGTACTTGCCTAAATATTTATGATATAAATAACTCTATCCAAGCTAAACTTAAGTCCTTTATACACCCGCAGTGCTCCCCGGGTTTAATGTACGATCATTCCAATAACCAAAATTAGTAAACATAACTTACCAACAAAACCTAACTCGCTATAATAACTTAACCCCCCTCCTCCCAACACACACACACACACACCTTTCCTCGCTTTTAAAGGTTACTCTGTTTTAGTTATGACCCACTAGAATTTTTTAAATATTTCTTAACGAGTTTATGATGGAAATAATGGTTCACGGATGAGAATCGAATCAACACGAGAGCTTCCGTGACGTTCACTGTCCTATCAAAATAAACGATTGAAGATAAAATACATTTAACTGTAACACACCAGAAGGTATTAAGCCATAGTAAATAAAGCCCGATTCAAAATACGTAAATAAAAAAAAGAAGAATGTTGATAATTATTGTACATGTTCTCGGCTGTTTTGTGTTGACAGGGTCGCGTCCGGGAACAGGAGCCGTCCACCAGCTGCCTAGCACCCTCATCCCACAGCTTCCCAAGGTCTGTGTATTACTTGTCTCTATGTGTAGATCTCTGTTATTCTGTTTTTGACTCTTTTTCTTTTTGTCAGTCACCATTTCTATTTTTTTCTATCTCCCTTTCCTTGTAATTCTTTTTGTTTCAATTTCCTCTAGGTTAGACCACCAGCGGGACCTCGTAGCTTCCTGAAGTGTGTCTTGTTAATATCTCTCTCTCTCTCTCTCTCTCTCTCTCTCTCTTCTTGACTACGGAACAACACGCAAGCATGTGTAGATGTATAGTCGGGGTCAAAAGTTTGCTTCCTCCCAAAATAAAGCAGTTTCGACCCCAATTGAG